ACCATTTCCCTCATTTCCCACTCCTGACAAACTAAGAAAGACCCCCATTTCCCACTCTTGATGTGAATAATCATCTGAATTCAGAATTTGCATGCTGAATGGAATGGATTTTCTATCTGTGAGAGGTTTCTGATCATCGGGATCATTTCTACTGGTAGAAGGAAGCAGTTTTTGTTGATTTTCCTTTCCACTCGAGTCTCCAAAAATCCCCTCCAAAGATTCAGGGAGCCCAGCCTGATACCGTGGGATATGATGCTGGAACTGGAGATAAAATGAATTGGCAAACATTGTTTGACTGGGGGTTAGGAGATCCAGGTCGGAGGCGTGAAGCTCATTGAGTGACTTGGGGTAGTCATTCTTTCGGTAGGACTTACCTCACATAGTTGTTAAGAGAAGAAGAAAGACACATTGACATAATAACAACCTTGCATGGACTGACACTGTGTATCAACGGGATATAACCTCTGGTGATTGTCCTCTTGCCAGTAACCTATTTCTAAAGTGCTAATTCCCACCTTTGGCATTTTAGACAAGCCTGCCTCTCTCTCTGTGTGTGTGTGTGTGTGTGTATGCACGCGCACATGCGCTTCCATTGTTTGTTTCTCCCACACTGGCCGAGTTTACATATTTATTTTTGGCCAAAAAAAGGGGGAGAGGTACTGCAGGTTGTGGAAATAACTTGAGGAATGTATTTTACCCACGTTTGCAGTAAATAACGCTAGCAAGGTTATGCTCAAAATCCTACAAAGTAGGCTTCAGCAGTATGTGGACCGAGAACTCCCACAAGTACAAGCTGGATTCCGAAGGGGCAGAGGAACTCGAGACCAAATTGCTAATATGCGCTGGATTATGGAGAAAGCCAGAGAGTTCCAGAAAAATATCTACTTCTGCTTCATTGACTATGCAAAAGCCTTTGACTGTGTGGACCACAGCAAACTATGGCAAGTCCTTAAAGAAATGGGAGTGCCTGACCACCTTGTCTATCTCCTGAGAAACCTATATGTGGGACAGGAAGCAACAGTTAGAACTGGATATGGAACAACTGACTGGTTCAAAATTGGGAAAGGAGTACGACAAGGCTGTATATTGTCCCCCAGCTTATTTAACTTATATGCAGAATACATCATGCGGAAGGCTGGACTGGAGGAATCCCAAACCGAAATTAAGATTGCCGGAAGAAATATCAACAACCTCCGATATGCAGATGATACCACTCTGATGGCAGAAAGTGAGGAGGAATTAAAGAACCTTGTAATGAGGGTGAAAGAGGAGAGTGCAAAAAACGGCCTGAAACTCAACATCAAAAAACTAAGATAATGGCCACTGGTCCCATCGCCTCCTGGGAAATAGAAGGGGAAGATATGGAGGCAGTGACGGATTTTACTTTCTTGGGCTCCGTGATCACTGCAGATGGAGACAGCAGCCACAAAATTAAAATACGCCTGCTTCTAGGGAGGAAAGCGATGACAAACCTTGACAGCATCTTAAAAAGCAGAGACATCACCTTGCCAACAAATGTCCGAATAGTCAAAGCTATGGTTTTTCCTGTTGTGATGTATGGATGTGAGAGCTGGACCATAAAGAAAGCAGACCACCGAAGAATTGATGCCTTTGAATTGTGGTGCTGGAGGAGGATCTTGAGAGTCTCCTGGACTGCAAGGAGAACAAACCTATCAATTCTAAAGGAAATCAACCCTGCGTGCTCACTGGAAGGACAGATCCTGAAGCTGAGGCTCCAGTACTTTGGCCATCTCATGCGAAGAGAAGACTCCTTGGAAAAGACCTTGATGTTAGGAAAGTGTGATGGCAAGAGGAGAAGGGGACGACCGAGGATGAGATGGCTGGACAGTGTCTGCGAAGCAACCAACATGAAATTGACAGACCTCCGGGAGGCAGTGGAAGACAGGAGGGCCTGGCGTGCTCTGGTCCATGAGGTCACGAAGAGTTGGACATGACTAAACGACTAAACAACAAAGCAGTAAATAAATCCAAAACTGCATTTTTGTTATGGGGTGTACCACCAGCTGTTCTTTGGCAAGACGATCATTGGCAATAACTTTTAATCTAGAGAGGCTACCTCAGGTGGATCTGGGCCTCTAGAGCAGCCATGGTACTTCCCTGCTGTTGGAGCTCCTTTCCTCCAGTGAAAGGAATCTCTGGCTGCTGTTAACTCGTGCTGATCCCTAGATCTGGAGATTAGGATGGCTATGTCCACTGAAGTTAAATGCTGTTGAAATCAAAGGGCCACGTTACCTGCAACACAGTTCCTTTCAAATTCAGGTTCCATTGACATCACCTGAGAGCCAGATTGATGTGGTGGTTGTTTATCCTATTCCTGTGTATAATTGTTTTCCCAGCATTGGCAGTGTAGCAGGCAGTATGCTTAACTTTGCAGGGTAATATATGCTAATGCAGTCTTACCTCAAATGTACTTTTAAAATGTTATTTTCAAATGCATGGATATCAAGTTGAGTGTGCATTTATTTAACATTGTTGTGTGATTATGTTTGTTAGTAAATTCTACAATCTGTCAAGTATGATGCATAATAATGTAATTTCTGGAACAATGCTGGTTGCCTCATTAATTATTACTGCATGTAATTGCTTTACATGAAGATGTTGTTTTGAAGGGTTTGGATCAGTTTTGTAAGACCTTCAAAGCATCACTTTGAATAAATATTACGTACACATTATTTCCTTATTATTATTCACTTTCTAGATCAAGCTGTTGTATGTGTGATAATTGGCTTATGAAGCTATTTAACGTGTGTGTGTGTGTGTCTCTCTGTGTGTCCCACACAAATAGGAAGCTCTCTTATATGTTTTTTCTGTTTTATTTTACATATTATAGCTCCCAAAGAAGGCTAAAAATACATTAGTCGGAACGTGTTGGGCTTCCATCTTTAATAAAGTGAAACCCATTTTACATCCTGGGACTCTTGTCTCTCCTTGCTTGACAACTTCAGTGGATATACCAATCCTGTTTGCTCTTGTTCATCCATAAGGTAGCCATAAGTTGAAGGTGACTTGATGGCACATAATGACAGCAACAATGACAATGACAACAATAAAAAGAATTACAGTAATTAGAGCTTAACTGTGGTTGGGTTGTCTGTTTCTGGGAATGGTTACAACTTGTGATCCATCCACGGGTAAAGTGCGCACATATATATGTATGTATGTATGTATGTATGTATGTATGTATGTATGTATGTAAGTATGTATGTATGTATGTATGTATGTATGTATGTATGTATGTATGTATGTATGTATGTGTATATGTATATGTATATGTATATGTATATATGTATGTATGTGTGTGTGTGTGTGTGTGTGTATANNGTGTGTGGGTGTGGGTGTGGGTGTGTATCTTTAAAGCATACACACACACACTTTAAAGAAGGTGAGCCAAGTAGATTCCTTCAGTAAAATAATGTGTCCATCAGTAGTACGGGATGCGACTGATTTGTGTTCATTCATTTTTATTTAGAATAGTGAGCATTACAGCACAGCAGTATATTTTGTCAACTGTAGATCTTATTTAAATGTTTTCATTATGTGTGATATGCTGAAGGAAAAATATTTGCTTTATCATTTTCCTTTTACATTTTACACTGGTATACATTTGTTTGTTCTGTCCAATGAACAAGTACTTTATGTGTTAGAAATATCCTGGCTAGGCTGCTATGACAACCGAACAATGACTGAAACTCAGCTGACATGGGGACTTGCCTGGCCTGCACTTTACCTCTACACTTTGGTAAAAAAGAGAGAAAGCTCTACTAAATGCTGAGGAAATCCATCTGAATGAACAGAGAGGAACTTTATTTTGTAGGTAATAGTATGCTGGAACAATCTGAGAGTAAAAACAAAGCTTCAGCACCTGATCATGTTTGCCTTGTACCTTCAAACTAAAGTGGCAAATAAGTTTTTTTCTAAATGCTTTTTGACTGGTTTGTTGTATGTAGGAGGACCTTGGTCAAAGTGAGTATTGTTCAGACTCATACAACAATAATCTGGAATTTGTTAACAGATCTGGTGATTGGATTTTGACAATTTTGGATCTTCTCTACAAACTGGTTCATAGTAGATTTAGAGCAGGCAAAACCAAGTCTTTAATGTAAGGTTTAGTGGCTTACAATTATGCATGGCATCCAGGTTCTTGTTCTGTTTCCCCTGCACATCCCGACAATCATAGAATTGGTAATCACAGTAGCCATTTCAGTTCTGGCCACCAAAATTCTTCTCCCCCCCCCTTCCTGAGATAGCTGGAAAGATGATGCCTTGCAGCCTCACAGACTTCTGTGCTACACAGAATGTTCTAGCACCCTTCTGCAACATGGGGAGCTACTGGACTTGCTGCCATAGTTAAGTGGCAACTGTTGTGGCACCAGCAGTTTGTAACCCCTAATGGGTTCTAATCCAGTAGATCTCATGTAACATTCTTTAAATCAACAATATCATCTTTGTTCTTTTTAATATAAGATGGTGTTACTATGTACATATTCTATGTACATGTTCAAGTTTGTGTGCACACAAGTGCACTGTTGCACTTATCTGCATTTTAGAGCAATTTGTTGTACTGTATTGCTATATGTCTGTGTGTGCTTTTTTGTGTCTTGTTTTTTTTTTAAAGTATGGCTAATCACTTTGCAGAAACAAACTTCCATCATTCAGGTAAAGCAAATGTCAGGATATTTTAGTTTACTTTCCCCTGTAGACTTAGGTCATTTTTGCATCATATCATTTCATGTGTGCTTGCTCTGACTTACTTTAGTATACCAGCTTTTCTTGCCTTAGGAACTACTTGTTATATTATTTTACATGTTGTGTTATTTTACATGAACAATTAACTGTGAAAACATAAAGAAGAAAATAGAAGAAACCATTAACATAGTCTGAACCTAATTTACTTCTTTTTCTATGGGATTAAATCTAACAAAAGAGTGCTTACGTATTATTTCCAATCCACATAAATGCTCAATATTTTCTATTTTCAGTTTCCTGAATGTGGGTTTTATGGACTATATGATAAAATCCTACTATTCCGACATGACCCTACAACAGAAAATATTCTTCAGCTAGTGAAGTCAGCTACTGATATCCAAGAAGGTGATCTTGTTGAAGTTGTCTTATCAGGTAAGATGTACATTTTTATGGTTTCGCATTTCCCGTTGCTCACATGAAACTGTGTGACAGGATTTTAGCTACTGACTTGTATTGTCAAAATGAAATCATACCTTTCAATCAGCCAAATCTAGTTGCGCTATAATGAAGTAACACAAAGAAGACAAATTACCAGAAATGGAATGTCAAAAAGAGAATGTGAGAAGAAGGAAATCAGCAAGTCTTTAAGAGTATCAGTCCAGGCTAAAGAGTATCTGTCAAGGCTAAAAGAAGATCAGCATGCATCAGAAGCAGGTAAAAGACAGTCTAGAAAATCTGAAGTGGGCCTTGTCTCATACACTCACTCTTCTCCAAACAGTCATATAAATCTTGAGTGTAAGATGAGTTGCACCCCTTCTAGAGATGTCAACTTTCCTCAGTCTTTGAAATCATAGGCGGGAAAAAACGAAGAACAATATTTTTTTCGTTGTTGTGGATTTTTTGGGCTCTTGGCCGTGTTCTAAAGGTTGTTGTTCCTAATGTTTCACCAGTCTCTGTGGCCGGCATTTTCAGAGGACACTCTGTCCTCTGAAGATGCTGGCCACAGAGACTGGTGAAACGTTAGGAAGAACAACCTTCAGAACACAGCCAAAGAGCCCGAAAAACCCACAACAACCATTAGATCCCGGCTGCGAAAGCCTTCGCGAATACAATATCTTTTTTCCTTTTCTTTTGGGAAAAAAAATTGGGGGGGGGGAGAAAGATACAATATACATATGCAATACATATGTACTGCTTTTGCAACATGAAATCTTTCATTCATAACTTAGCACAGGAAATTGCAGTGCCAGAAGTATTTGTGAAGTTTAAAAATATAGAAGTCCTAGTTTTATGTAAGCAAAATTGTGAATATATCCTACGCAGTACAGATGTTAAAAAAGGGAAAATCATGGTGGCACCTTAAAGACTAACTAGCTGAGATTATATATATATATACAGTATATGCATGCTAGACACACATATCAAAGGTCTTAATATAAGCCAAGACTTTTGGAGACACTACAGATATAAATACTACAAATATTGTACTGTACTGAATCTCCCAGATATTTGTCTTACCTTTTCTAAGGCAAAATAGATTCCATTGTGCTCTTATGGTCATTCATTGTCTGGGGTAATTCATACACTTTACAGCTGATTACAAAGAAAAGTTGTAAGGGAAAAATTCATGGAGGACTATAATTAGCCTATCTGATTGACGTTATTGTTACTCTACCATTGTTATATTACTATTGTTATTTTACCATTGTTACTCTATGACAGAGGCTCTCACTACAACATAAGCTTCTACTAAGACCTGCATATCAAATAAGCCATCATCATAATGTTCAACAATTACTGACTTTCTCACAACCAACAACTTTGATGCCACATTTAAATATTTGGCACTTTAAATATTTGCCTCCTTCTCTCTATGTCTGATGAAGTGGGTTTGTCCACAATAGCTCACATTAAAAATATTAGAGTTGGTCTTTAAAGTGCCACTACATATTTGGTTTTGTTTTACTTTTTATTTTTACTTTGTTTTCATCTATAATTCTTGCACAGACTAACATAGCTAACCTTTCTACAACAACTGAAAATATGTTAAAGACTGTTAACACCGAGGCTGGAAACTTGTTAGTAAGATTTATGTAACTTGTTGCAGCTATTTGTTGAGATGGTGGGGCATTTCTTGTTTGTGTGGTCAGAAGTGTGATATAGGCATGTAATTAGGACACATGCCATCACATCAATTAGCCACAGTTAGCTTTGGCAAGTTTAGCAAACCTTATACAGACACCAATACAGTTCTGGCATGTAGAGCATTGCCATCTAACAGCAAGGAAGAACCCCTCTTATGAATATGGGGGCATCTTCTAGGTATAGAAATGCATTTTTAAATTTGAGTGCTATATATGTTTATAGCATACACAGGAACGATTGTTCTCTAAATCCATTTAATTCATTCCAGGAAAAAGATATTTTGTCAAAATGCTTTCTAGGTTCCCAAAGTTCCTTTTTTAAAAAAAAGCTGGAAAAAATTTGGAAATTTGTCCATGTAAAAAAATTGAAAAATCTGCTTACCCCTGAAATTTCCTCTATCTTTTCTGACTTTCACATCTCTAACTCCACCATCTCCCAGAGATTAGGCCTTAATTGTTGCTAAATAATTTTGGAAGTTGTCCAAAAAAGTGGAATTTCCAATCTGTAGGATTACCATCATGATAGCATTGCTTAGTTATCTTATGGAAAATGTTCTCCATGCCTGTTTGTTCCTCCAGGGAGAACAACATTTGCGATTGGTATCAGTGGCAAGCGCCATTTCTCTATTTGGACTTTACTCATGGTTTGTGAAGCTCATGGGTTCAACTGATGCATAATTCATAACTATACTAAAAACACAGCCATTTAATGGCTTAAATTCAACAGTAGGCCTACACTAGAGTTGGCCTATTGAATGGAACTTGCAGAAGAGTTGATTAACCATATCACCACTGATTCAGTGGGCCTACTCTGGTTGTGACTTACTCATGGATTTCAGCCAATATCTACTCAAATCCCATTGAATTCAGTGGGCGTTATCTTAGACAGTTGCCTACTCATTGTTTAAAATTTTAGATATGTATTGTCTTTCAAGGAGAAAGGTGGAGTAAAAAATAATTTAAATAAACAAATACATGAAATTAAATCAAATATATTCTGGTTTGCTGCATAATAGCCATGATTGAAACATAGTGAATCTCTGAGTAATTCTTTTGTTGATATTTTACACCTCCTTGGATCTACACCTGTGCATATATTTACTCTCTTTTAAAATGGTAGAAGTGTAAGTTTATTTCTCCTGAAGTTCCATTATATATAAAGATTTTATATCTTAAATTTGACAGATACTAGAGGTACAGGTATCTTTTTAGGATTTTAAAAAATAGCATGATGTAGAGCCAAAAATATCTTTGAGCAAGGTAGGATTGGAAGTAGTTTGTTTCTTCAAACATTTAGCTCTTTTTTTGTTCGGCAGAAGAACAGTGCGTCTAAAATAAAAGTGCTATAAATCTGAATAGGTATTCATTTTGAGATGATCTGTCTTCTCTGGCATGTAAAATTACAGGGTTCTTATGTAATGAAAAAAGTACAAACCTGGAAGAATTTTCACAAGTTTGTTACATTAGATGTGAATAGATTAAAACTTCTCTTTTAAAAAAATTAGGTTGACAGTGGACCTGTCAGGCAAATTCACAGCATAATCGCATCAAAAGGAATGAACATTATTATAGTATGATTTTACCTAAAATATTACATTTTATTCTACTACTGATTCATCCCAAGAAAATGAGATTTTCTAGATTTTGTTCTTGAAGGCACATAGAAGTCATTGTGTATCAGGTTAGTTTAATCAGAGAGAAAATGATATCTTTTTATGTATTTTTTTCTTCTTTTAGGAGAAAAAGTATTCAGAGGTTATTGAGCTTTTGCACTGAATTTCAAGGGTTTTTCCCCCCTCCACCCAATTATGGCACAAGTAATTGAATTTTCCTTTAGTTCTTTCCTACATCTGAGGTTCACATTGGATCATATGAAAGAACATTGGCCTCATATCTACCTTGATTACTGAATTTTCAAGGGGTAGGTATCTAATTAGCAAGCCTAACATAGTATGAGAACATGAAATTGAAAATAATGTGCAGTAGCCTTTCAGAATTGGTGAGAGTTGTCTTTGTCTGCTTCTTCTAAGAATACAGTTAGTACAATATGTGGTTTAAAGTCCATGTAAGACCACTATACAACAATTTACAGTCCCATTATTGGGAGTGCCATCTCCAATTTGTGAGGAATATGAGACTTCTTATATATGTGATACTTACATACAGATCTAGATAGATACTGAAAGGGTTTTTCTGTGCCAAAATTCCATTATTAAATATGGAATTTCTGCACACTGTTTGCTGGCTCTTTTTTCTTATTTTTAAAAGATATAAGAATTCCTTTTTTTGTGTCAGGTTCTATGACTCGCACATGTTTGAAGCTTTTGCAAGTCAGTTTAAAACAGACTTGTAGGTAATTAGATGATAATTTTGTTTTGCAATAGAAATTTTTTATTTGAAAAGATAGGCTGTTTTACAGAAAATACAAAACATCCCATCATAAATGGAAGAAAAACTGTGGTGTGAGATAAGTATGTGTGAATATGTATATCTTGGTAGACAAGAAGACAGATGAATAGGAATACTGTCAGAATAAAAAACTTCAAAGTGTTGTCATGGCTCTTTTCTTTTTAAAGAATCTGTTAAATCAAATATCTTTTACCGTAGATCATATCCTGAAATGGTCATGCCACTTTAACAGTATATTTCACAATGTTACAACATTTTGTTTCTATAAACATTGTAACTGTTGTTAAGTCACCATCTTTTGCACCCCACTGCTTGATGTTAGTCAGTTGATTGATACAATGAGCCATGAAAGTTAGGAGGGTTGAATGTACCAGTTATGGTGAGTGTTATCAGTATTTTATTGAGAAATAGGAGCACAGAGAGAATCACACTTTACAGAAACAATAGTAGGTAGGGAAGTAAATCTTCACTTGTCTTTGCATACAAGGACAAGAAAATATAGTATTCTTCACTTCAGTAGCTAAAAGAGTGAAGAATTTCCTGGTGTTCTCATCAGAGATGTCATGTTGTTGAGAATGATGTTTTCTGCAAAATGTCACAAATTGAACAAAATGCCCTGAATTAGAATGACTGTTTGTTTAAGAATTTGAAATAATGGATGGGTTGTTTGTATCTTTTTTAAAAAAATATTCAGCTAATCTTTCTGGGATCCCTGTATGTGTGCATGGGCTTTGCTTCTCAAAGGAAATGGACATTAGAAATATTTTTGCATGAATTACAGAAGTCATGAGAGTGGAAAGAAAGAGTTCTTTGTTTCACTCTTAGTTGGAGCAAAGAAATCTTGGTGTTGGTCTAAACTTTATTATCACTGTTTTTCTT